GGTCTTATTTGTGAACTCTGACTTCATTTGGGCACAGAAGCCTTGAATGCAGACTGCACTGAGCCTCGTGGAATCTGGCTTTGAGCCGACCCACCTAGCTGGGGTATAAATCTCAGTATCGCTTCTGCTGCTCTCCACCTGCACATCAAGCTGGGTCTGTCCTGATTTGAAAGGCGCAGGGCTGGCCACAGTGGGTCCAGGTGAACAACAACAACAAAACCCTGCTGGCAGCGTCAACTTGGAGAAATGACTTCTTTTTTATAGTCATTGTCTGGCTCTGTCAATCAGCTTCAGAATTTCTCTGCAGGGCTGGAATGCCACAGCTCAGAAGAAAGGATGACATCAGGAGTGGAACACACACACACATACACACACAGGAGGGAGAGAGAGATGTGGTGATTAAATCTTGTGCGTTAAGGATGAGCGATCCCACCTTTCACAGTTGTATTATTTTAATTTCAATAAACATTTATTGAAAGCCCACCCCCAGCTGAGCACTGGAGCAGGCAGACTCTCTGTGGGCACCAAAGGGAATATAAAACCCCTTCAGACAGGTCTCCACCCTCACAGTCTAGAAGGAGAAGCAAAAAACAAAATGAAACAAAACAAAAAAACCAAACAAAAACAAAAGCCACCAAGCCAGACAGTAGGCTTGAGAATTTATAAGTACTTCCACAAACATCTCATTTAGCCCTGTTTGCAAAGCAGATGAGGCGGTGTTATCTGCATTTTACAGATGAGAGCAAGAGCCTTGTTTAAGATCACAGAGCTAGTAAGTGACAGCCCCATAATCCAGGTCATGAAAACTCCTGTTTCAAAGCTTTTCCCACAATATGACACTGCCTCTTTATAAACACTTGGTTATAATACAGCACCGTGATGACAGAGCACAAAGGGGAAAAAAAAAAAGATTAATTCTTCAGAACCAAGGAGATAGAGGATCAGGCTTCTCAAATGAAGTAATTTTCCATAGGTAGAGAAAATAGAGATTGTTGTAGGCAGAAGGACACAGGGAGGTGGAAGGAAGGTGATGCTCCTGTGTACAGCAGGGGTGATGAGGCCACCTCTGTCATCCATACTTGACTACAAGGTCCAGTCCAGGGTCAAGAGGAAACACATGAAAAAGCTTCGGTGTGCCTCCCTGCTTGCCTCCTTGGTTTCTATCTCCAAGGAGGACCCCTCTATTTCTTGGGGAATGAATGTGGGGAGAAATGACCCTTCTCTCTGGGCACACCCCTCATTCAGTGGCTTTGCAGCCTCACTGTGAAAATCTCGTCAATAGAGCACAGAGTATGTCTCCATTGCTCATCCAGGAGATGCACACATAGGGTGCAGGGTGTTGTTTCATGTCACAAAAAGTGCTTTCAACCTCCTGTGTGACTTGGCGTCCCTTGGCCTCTCTGATCCTGTCTCTCTCTCTCTCTTTTATATCCTGTCTCTCTCTATCCCTCATGTATGAAGTGGGGGGTTAATTGTACCAACCGTGCGGGGTTGTCATGAGGATTAAGTGGGTGGATTTTTGTGAAGCACACAGCCCAGCTTTACACATGGCTATTTAGAAAGAGGAGCTGTTACTGCTGCTGCTGTTTAACGTGAGGAAAGCAAATAGGTGATCTGTCATGTACTGAACCCACATCTCCGCCATTCCCGACAGAGGTGGCCCCTGTGGGGCCAATGACTCTATTGTCAAGTGGAGAGCTTCAAAATGACCCCTGGGACCTGTTTCATGGGTTGACGGGGAAGAGGAAGAAGAAATCAGAGTTTTGTATCTGATTTGGCTGAGGGCTGGATCTTTGTGTTTTCAAGGCAGTGGCTTTGGTTTGGATGAAGTGCTTTGTCAGCAAGACGTGGTAACAGGTAGATGATATGTAAGATGTGGCTAGAAACTAACACGATGACAGAACTAGCCAGCTGCTCATAAAGCAGACCTCAGGAAGCAGCCGAGAGTGGTCAGGGGCAGAGGTGGAGATATGGCTAGGCCAAAAAATCTGGGAGCTCTAGTGGGAATGGAAAATGGAATCAGACATCTGTGCCTGTCTTCAGGGCAGAGGGAGCACAGTCAGGGGAGAATACGGCCCTGGTGATGACTGGATATCCTTGGCTAATCCCTAGCTCATGAGATTTTAGGTCTTGGGCTGCACAACTAAATCCAGATTCTCACAGCATGGCTGAGGCTGCTCATGCATCTTGTGGTCTTGTACAGATGGACTCAAGATTCAGATAAGACCATATTGGGGGTTCTGGGACAGAGCAGGGCGGGAGAAGAAAGGAGCTGAGGCTGATCATGAAGTCCCAGTTACTGGTTGATCTTTGCCACAGCCACAACTTTTCACTCCCTCTATATCTGCTGATTCAAAAGGATCATTTGTCACCTGTTGGAGCCAGCATTTGATGCTCGGCACTTACATTTCACAGTCAGGTCAGCCAGGTCCTCTAGATTTTCAGGAATAGATATCTTTTCTTCAGCTAGAAGTTCTTTTCCATTTTTCTGGGACTCTTCTGCATAGGGGAAAGGCAAGAGGCAATGGAAAAAAGTGTGAGTCAGAAAAGACCTGTCCCTTTTTCTTTTTATGAACAGGTGCTCATTTTCTTAGAAGGTGGGATTCAGGAAAAACTTCCTGGGAATTTTAACTGGCCTAAGAAATCTTCACCACCATGACTGACTTTGCTGAAAGTCCATCGCATTTTCTGTGCGAGGCATTGAATTTCACCTGATGAGATATAGGTAATAAGGAGGAAAACTATTGCATTAGGTAGAATTTGGTTTAAAAGCGTAGTGTTCCCATCATAAAAGCACCAATTGTAACAATAGTTAATAATGTAGACAAACTCACCGGCACCCCTCCACTCCACTTTTGACTTATTGTAGGGATTGGAAAACTAAAAACTACATTTCCTGGTCGCCCTTGCATCTGAGATTTTCACGTGACCTTCATTCTGCCAGGCTGTTGTACTTACAATAAACCTGGATGCAAATAAGAGTAATGGGAGGTGTTAGTCAGACACGGGCAGATCTGAGCTGGTAAGCCCTGTGGCAGAAGCATCTGATCCTCCTGTGCCAGCTTTGGGGGGAGTATCCGGTATCCAACCCTGAGTGTTGAGGAGCACTCAGATATAGAGAAGTGTTCATTAAATTGTTCTGCGGTGTGCCACCTTCTCCCTCCGCTTGAATGTTTTTCCCCACTACAATAGCCCTAGTTACTTTGTTCTTGGTCCTCCCGGAAATGTTGTGAACTGTATACTACCTTTTACCTTTCTGTGAGCCTCCCAATAATTTAAAAAAATTTTACTGATGTATAGCATAGCGTACATAGCTAGAGACACGTCTGTCGTAAGTGTGCAGTTCAATGATCTTTCTCCAAGAAAACACACTGTAGCTAGCCTCCCGTCTAAGAAAGAGAAATCCAGAAGGCCCTTGAAGGGTACTTCATTCTTGTCACTACCTGTACAAAAATAGCCACTACTGCAACGTGTAACAGCTTAGATTGTTCTTTTCAAAATCATTATTATTTTTGAGACAGAGTCTTACTCTGTTGCCCCAGGCTAGAATGCCATAGCATCATAGCTCACAGGAACCTCAAACTCCTAGGGTTAAGTGATGCTCTTGCCTCAGCCCTCCAAGTAGCTGGAACTAAAGGCATACATCACCACGCTCAGCTAATTTTTCTATTTTTTAGTAGAGACAGGGTCTCACTCTTGCTTAGGCTAGTCTTGAACTCCTGAGCTAAAGCAATCCACCCGCCATCCCCTTCCTAGAGTACCTGGATTACAGGCATGAGTCACTGCGTCTAGATTGGATTTTATGTATTTTTGAACTTTATATAAAGAGAGTCATACTTTATGTGTTCTTCTATGCCTGGCCTTTTTGCTCAACACTGTGAGGTTCATCCATATTGTTGCATGTGGTTTTAGTTTGCACACATCACTGTATGGCTGTATTGCAAATCATTTATCTGTTCTATTGTTGTAGGCATCTCGTAGTTTTCTGGGGTGATTGTTAATAGTGCAGCTGTGAACATTGCGTACCTTCCCTTCCTCCCTTCCTCCCTCCCTCCTTCCTTCCTTCCCTTTCTTCTTTCTCTCCTCTTCCTCCTTCTCCTCTTTCTTCTTCTCTTTTTTTTTGAGGTATTGTGGGGCTTTGCTATGTTGCCTGGGTGAGTTTCAAACTCCTGGGCTCAAGCAGTTCTGCCTCAGCCTCCCCAAGTACTGGCATCACAAGCATAACCCACCAAGCACAGCCTGTGTACATTTCTTTTTGAAAATGTACATACATCATACACATTTCTATTGGGTATATTTCTGGGATGGAATGTCTAGTTGTAGCAAACTGCAGTCACAGTTCGCTATAGTGAGGGAACAACTGCAATACATCACATGTGCTACAGTGTGACTGGGGGGCTGACCAAGGGTTTAATGGGTCTGAAGCATATCCCACCCTCTCCCTCAGCTTAATCCTTTATTTTTCTCCTTTATTTCATGGTGTGAAATTTAATGAATATCCTGAATGCCAAACTCCATCTCAGCTTCTTTTCCTAGATAACTCAACCTTAAACACTGGGTCTTGCCTCAGTAGATACCATACAACAGATTTGAATAAGCACTCTAGTTGCTCAGTATCTGTGTCTACAGAGTATCTTTTGCTAGACTCTGTCCTGCCTGAACTGGCTAGAGTGGATTATGTTTTCAACAGTGGAGTACTGGATTTTGTATGTGTGTGTGGACTCTGATCCCTATAGGGAATAGGAATGGTGTACTTCTTAAGATTCTAGAATTTAGATTAGAGAGAGGGAAGGGGCTGGATTCTGCATTCAGTATGCATAGCTTTACTTAACTCCACTACTTTGGGTCATTTCCCCACCCTCATCTGTGCCAGCCCAGGGACTTCTGCCTAACCTTCTCAGAAACTTCCAGACTTCTTCCCAGGTGGAAATATCACCCTGTACTGGGGGACTGAGGATGGGGCCTAGAGATTTGCCTCCTTCTTAAACAGCTTTCCTCCATCCTTTCAAATTCAGCTTTGATCTCTTTTACCCCATTTTCAGATATACAAGTTGAATATACCATCTTCTCCCCACAAGAGCAAAACAGCAAAATTCTTGGGACCAGAAGTATTTTGGGTTTCAGATTTTTGAATATTTTTAAATATTTGTATATTACATAATGAAATGTGTTTGGGATAGTACTCAAGTCCAAACATGAATTTCATTTATGTTTCATATACATCTTATAAAAATACCCTAAGGGTAATTTTATACAATGTGTTTTAATAATTTAACAATTTAAAACAAAGCTAGTGAATGCTGGACCATCAGAAAGAAAGGGTGTCATTATGTCATCCACCCACGTGGACAATCTGTATTTTCCTGGCATCGCCATCATTCCTGACTCTAAATTTATGTGCTACTGATAAGCATTTTCTTACACTTATTCACACATTAAGTACTTAGCAGTAAAAATATATATGCCATACTAGTGATGCAGTGAAAAACAACGTGTGCAGGGTAACTTGAGGCATCATGTTGCTGTTTAGGAAGTTTTAGATTTTGGATTGTGGATTCTCAACTTGTTTTACAGCTCATAGTACTTGAGCTTTTTGAAGAGTCTGCCCTCATGGTCCAGTTGGTCTTGGATTCTCTGCTGCCATTTTTAAATTAAGATTCCTAGTCTGCAAGGTCAATTGCTCTGTGGCCATATTCCATTAGCTTTGCAATTTTCAACATTTTGCTTGTGTCTCTTCCCATCCTAGTAAAATTATACCATTAAAACAAAACAAAACCTTCACCACAGCCTTTGTGCAGTTTTGGAAAGGAAGAAAATCAGATATTCTCAGTTTGTAATCTTTATGCGAAGTTGCATACATATCTTTATTTCCCATTTCCACCATTTTCCCAAGATTGATAATATTAGGAGATTTCAAATGATTAATGTTTGAGAACATGGCGGCTTCTAATCATTCCAGGAAAGTGACCATCTCACCATGTATAAAGTTATTATAACGTTGTAAACATGTTTCATGTTATTACATTTTGAAAATAGTTTTATTTATTTATACTTCAAAGCATAGCTGTACCTTTCTTTTTATATTTGATTGTGGGAATTTTAGATACATAAGTTTTAAGGATTCCTTCCCAACAAGATCAAACTGAAAACCCAGAATATCAGGGTTTTACTTTTCACTACAGTTAGATATTTATTTTGTGTCAATTGAGTCATTGTTATAATGAATAACATTGCACAGAAAGCTTTTTCATGCATTAGAATTATTTCTTCAGGCTAAATTCCCAGGAGTGGAATTACTGGACCTCCAACTATAAACATTTTTAAGGCATTAGATTCTCACTATCAAATTGCCTTCTGAAAGTTATGACATATTTGGTTAATAGACAATGATGAGCCAAAATATGTTTACATACGCCCTTGGGAAAGGGTGGGGTGAGGTAGTCCACAAAACCCATCACAGTACCTGAGTGTACCAATATTAACATCTCCAAAATCTTGGCATTTCTTCTTTTGCCCACTTACAATGTTGACTTATTCGGCCATTGTATTATAACAGAGCCAATTCCAGGCTTTTCCTGCTACCAAGGGTCCTGCCGATCAGGATTGGAAAAATACTTACTACCTGCTTAGCTTGCCCAATGAACACACAGTTAGGGGAATTTCTGAGTGATAGCTCTCAGTTTTAGTAAAATAGAAGTCTGAGTTGTCCCTGAAATGGACATCCACAGACCTCATCAGTGTCAGAACTCCATCCTCAGGCTTTCCTAGCTTTTTATACTCCACAGGTGGGGCAAAGGCCCCAGAGAGTGGTATGTTGAGAAAAAGAAGAGACAGGTGCTCCGCAGAGCCCTGATGGTCTCTGGAGCCCATCTCCCCAGGATCCAGGGAGCATTTTTAGTGTGTCTAGGTCATTTTACTTAATGACGTTATCTGCGGCCACACATGGTATTTGGTTTTAAATCAACCTGTAAGGCATAACAGACTTTAACAGCTTAAAGGAGAAAAAGGTGCTATAGGTACTTCAATGAAGACCACACCCTTCACCACCCTGCGGTGGTCAGTGGAGGAGTCACTTGTGTAGAAATCTCCCAGGGTCCATAAGCAGGCAAAAAGGGGGGCTGTGTTACAAAAACATGGGCCAAAGCCTGTGCTTTATGTGAGGGGTATGTGTGTGTGTTGGCTTAATGTTGTAGAAATAATAGCTCCTGGTTATTACTTATTAGTTTTAATGGATGGTATGCCCCATACGGGGTTGTCAGGCTGACACTGACAGTGAAAGTGAAGGCTGTGGTTGTGGCAGGGTCCTCATGGATGAGCTGAGGATTTCTGGCATCCCTGTCCTTAGGCTTTTGACAGCAGCATCTCAGGGACCCAGTAAAGCAATCCTCTGATAGTCCTCAAGACTGCAGCAGCCTCCTAAAGGATTGCTGCTTTGAACAAACAAGTCTACCCAGCAGGAAGGACCTTGTTTACTGAGCATTGCAACTATCTTGGAAATTTCCCTTTTTATTTTATTGATGCATCTTTTTGAAATGTCACAAAAGACAGCCCCTGAATGCTAAATGTGCTCTAGGAAAGATCCGTGTCCTTTTGTGTTTGAGAGATTTGAAATCCGATTCATCTGTCTACCTCTCGGGGCCTTGGGTTTTACATGTGAGATGGGAACATGATACCCAGCTC